ATATGTAATAAGTGAGGAGCCCTTATTCTATAAAATGACTCCTCACCCTCACAATTAAAGGAGGCTAACTCTTAGGCCTTAAGCTCCCTCATCCTCTCAAAACTTTCACTCTCATATTCAGAGCTCTCTCTCTCCCTCAGAAATACAATATCAGTGTGGACGTAGCCCAAACCTTGGGGTGAACCACGATATATCTTGTGTTATTTACTTTCATGCAGATTCACGGTAGGATTTACGTTATTTCAAGACCTCCGATTTTATGCTTCAACACAAATATATAAAGAGAGCTACTAGACCCACTCCATTGTCTTATTTTTCCACCCATGTTATAACCTCACCCACCTTAAAAAGTTAAAAAATCAAAATGCTATTTCTCCACCCACTATTATTCTCAAAATAACCTTTAATATATGCATACATATGAAATTATAAAATTGTCTCTTAGAAAAATATAAACAAAAAATAATACGTAAATGAAAACCACTAAGGTCTGCAAATTCAAATGGAAATGAAAGAGGTATCCAAATCCAAAAGAATTCGACGACAAATTCAAAAATACGATGGTCAAATTCAAATGACCCACACACAAATTATTCTTCTACCTTTTCAATGGCAACATAATCTTCTACCTCTTCCGTAGAAGCGTCATCTTCCACCTCTTCAATGAAAAAGTCATCTTTTAAGTCCATTGATATTTTTTTTTTAACTTTCTTTGAATGAAAGGAGATGAAAATATGAGTTAGGGTTTAAGGTAGACAAATTGTCTCCCATGCCCAAGGTCTAAAATATCGATATTATCCCGATATTTCCATCGAAATTTCCGTGTTTTTGGACTACTGATATTGCCGATATTATCGATATTTGGGACCTTGATAGGAACTCTATGTGGTACTAAGTCACTCATGTATCTTACTATGCAATGTATAAAGTGTAAAATATTGTACTAATTCATTATATATAAATGATTATGGTGTGTTTAAATTTCTTTCATTAATTACTACATATTTTCTACACTCACAATGTTTGCCAGCTCGCTATATAATCAACTTAAATCAGTTAAATCCATCATGCAATGTACTTCCTTCCAATTTTTTGTGATAAACTAATAGATAATTAACTAAATAAACATCCTGCAAAGTTTCAATAAAAATTTCCAAGTTTTTCTTACAATTTCCGTGGTTTTTATTCAATTTTTATCGATATCAATAATTTCCTGATATTTTCATCGAAATTTCCGTGTTTTTGGACTACTGATATTTCCGATATCATCGATATTTTAGACCTTGCCCACGTCCAACCTTTTTTTTTTTAAATTAAGCAAAACAAGATAATTACTGTCCTTATCAATATTTTTACAAATGGACAAATTTGTAATTAAAAAATTCATTAAAAGATAGATGGGAAGATAAGATATTAGGATGAGAATAACATCACTTTATATAAAAGGTTTCAGAAACAAAGGCAATGCCCAAGGCAGATTGGAGGGGGCGGGAATGGCAGCGTAAGACTCAAGAAAATTGGGCTTAAAGAAACTTGAGTGTTGTTGGTGACGTGGCGTAATCTGGAGCCTTAAATTATCTTGGCAAGGAATGGACGGCTATAAAGTAGGAGGGATAAAAAGTAGGAGAAGATACAATCTTAGTCTATTTTTTTTATGCAAAATTATGCTCTTGTGTCTTCCTCTTTCCTCTGTAAGAACATGTAGAATGGTCCCCATCAAGATTCCTTTTAAAAAATAAAGTCTGACACATGAAATTAGCTCCAGTACTATGAGGTCAATTATCATGTTACCTCTTATTTAATGGTATGAGTTTTACTCAAATTCAGCCGGTGTAAATATTCATTAGATCTTTATATACAAGATTTAACCGTTACTTTTCAAACCACAAAATAATACATATCATGTTACGTTTTATTTAACGGTATGAGTTTTATTCAAATTCAACCAGTATAAATATTCATTAGATCTCTATATACAAGATTTAACAGTTACTTTTCAAACCACTCAATAATACATATTAAGAAAAAATTTAGAGTGAATTAGCAAACTTATGTAGGACAATAAGACAACGTTAATATTGCTAAGTTGGTGTGCCTAACCCTTTCAAAAGTTGACATGCATTGAAAGGCAAGCCATTTTCTTTTTTACAATTTTTTATTTGTGACAAATTCATAAAAAAGGCCACTAACTTTTTTATGTGGGTGAGGTTGTTTCTTCTGAATTTTTTATTTAACAACTATTTTCTACTTTGCACTTATTTACTTAATTTTTTATTTTGATTTTTAAAAGCTGAAAGAAGAAGAAGCATTTTTGGCATTATGAATGGTATTGTTATACAATGGCACCAATTATAAAGAAAAAAAAAGTTTGGTGATATATCACTCAATTAATTTATACAGTCCTGAATCCTGATCAAAGTTTAATATTGTCCACACTTCCCCTAAAGATTGTAAATAAATAAAATGTGGATCATGCTTGTACGTATTCTTAGCATCTCAAGGAATACTTGGTATTGTTGTTTAATGATATTATTTTATTTTATTTATAAGTGAAATTCTTAAATATAAATTTTGTTAATGACAAGTTTGATCTAATCATTTCTCCCATCTCTTAGTATAAATATATTTCATATACAAAAAATGAATATCACACATTTCAAAAAATAAAGCAAAAAAAAAAGATAATGCTATCAATACACCTATTTTTCTTTCTCACGCACCCTTTTCAATTTTGAGTTGTTTGATCGAACGAATTAAAGAAAATTGATGGACAAAAATGAACATAACACTATCCAAAAAATAAAAAAAAGGGGTAAACTGCTGATTTCTCCTTGAACTCTCACTTTCAATTTACCCCCTAAACTTTTTAATTGGAACATCAAGGACTTAAACTAATTTTTTGCCGATTTCCCCTTACCATTAGTTTTCCATAGATTTCATCCAAATTAACGCTAACTCTAAAGCATCACTTCGCTAGACCTTTATACATAAAAACTATATAATCACACAGATTTGCACATGTCGACATTTTAGCCTCGAGTTTTCAATTATTTAAAAAAAAGACAAAGTAACCGAACTACTCTTATATGTTGTGCACATGCTTTCATATAACATAAATTTGGATGGAATGAATGAAAAACTTGAAGAAAAAAAAAATCGGCCAAAAAAAAATTGAAATCCTTAATTTAAAAAAAATGAAAACTAAGTCAAAGGCAAAAGAAATCAGCAATTTACTCAAATAAAAAATAAAAAATATCATTATCTGATTAAAAAAAAGGGACTAAATTCCAAAATAGAGAAAAGGACGATAAAACATGTCGGCTTTACAGTTGTACTGTTTGGCTGCATTCACAGTGTTTGAGTGTTGAAACCGCCAACCCTCGCTGCTACAACAACAGTAACTACCACACACATACCCTCATATCCTGCCACGTGTTAGCCCATAAAGAAATTAAACTCATGTAAATTATGAGTTGTTTACTTTTACTGTTGAGTTCTCTCATCTCATCCGTCCCTTTTAAATCAATCAAATAAGATTTTTATCGTAGGTGACAAAAAGTAATATTGTCAGGGTCGTTTTAAAAAAATATAAAAATGTAAAACAAATCGACACTGAAATATTTTAAATTGGATTAATGGTGGTCCTGACTTCTGAATCGCACGATAATGGTTGAAAAAGATTGAAACGCCTTTACCAATGAAGGTTGGTTGGAAAGAGGCTCTGGTCTCTTAAGCAAGTCATCCTCATCCTCCTCCGTGAAGAAAGCCTCATCTCCACCTCCACTTCCACCTTCCTCGAGATTGGCCAATTCTGCCTGTTGTGCCAACAACCTTTGTTGTTGCTCCTGCAACTGTTTATACACCCTTCTTGAAGAAGATATTGTAATAAGAACTTAAGATTTGAAAACGATGAACAAGGATTCTGAGCTAAAAAGAAGGATTGAGCTTGGTGTGAGGATGGATGTAGGGATGTAGGGTTTATAAGGACAAAAAAAGAAAGGATGAGGTTCTGGACAATGCCACGTGGCACTACGTGATTGGTTGAAAATCTTATCGAAATCTTGGCTAGATTATTGTAAACCGGAAGTGACACGTGGCATGTCGGGATTGGTCGAAAATATTATCGGAAATCTATCCACAAAATAGTACGTTCAGATAATGACACGTGGCATGACGTGATTGGTTGAAAATCTTATCGAAATCTTGGCTAAATTATTGTAAAACGGAAGTGACACGTGGCGTGTCGGGATTGGTTGAAAATCTTAGCGGAAATCTATTCACAAAATAGTACGTTCAGATAATGACATGTGGCGTGACGAGATTGGTTAAAAATCCTATCCGAAATTAAAACTATTTTATTTTTTTATTCTTTTAGACAAAATTTAAAAATATCTTAAATGGGCTGGGTGCCAGCGCATTTTGTAGGGATGGAGATCGTTTGTGCCAGCGCATACTAGGTGCCAGCGCATTTTTTTAGGGGTGGAGATGCCTTGGCCTATTACTGTTCACTGGAGTATGTTACTGTTAATTTGAGTGGATAAATGCGCTGGGTGCTGGCGCAAAGTCCTTAGGGGTGGAATTGCTCTTATGGATGCAGAAAACTTTCTTGGGAAAGGTCCCCGCATATGCGCACGACCGTACCTCGAAGCATTAGTCCTGGGTTTTCCTGGGGACACCTTGGGAAACCTAAAAATGATTGAACTGCTTTGTTTCTGTGAGTCTTTCTGATCTTAAAAAAAATTAGATTACTTTAACAAAGTTCCCAGCTAGTTAATTTAAAAATAAATAATAAAAAAAATTCTGGTATTATTCTTCAGTAGTTGGTTCAGAGGGGAAGAGATCTTCTCCGAATATATTTTCACCGGATCAAATGATTTAGATATTTAAAATTTCATTTAATGATAAAAAATTATTATAACTTTTAAAAACTTAAAACAATTGAGCCGTTGGATGATATTTTAAAGGCATAAATCTGTTGGTCCCCTGAACTTTGGTGATTCTCGGTTCAGAGTATTCATTATTAGACCACGTTTTCCTATTCCTGCAAGAGGATCTAATAAGAAAAAGAAACTGTACATTTTCCGTCACTTTCTCTGGAAAATGTCAGGATTTTCCCAGTGAAATATTTTCCTAGTTTTTAATAATTGCCAGGCATTCCTTCTTCTCTCTTTCGATTTCGTCGCCTTTTCGATTTCATCCCATTGCTGTTCGAAGCCCTGCGTCGAGGATGGGCGTTGACTTTTCGCGGAAATGGCGATTCACGTCCGCTACGACCTGCAAGATTTGAACTTCAGGGGTTAGTTTTGCGAATTTATCCAAACCAGGGATTTGTATCAACTGGGTGTTTGATAAATTTCAGAAATTGGAAGGGTTTCTGGTTGAATTTGGATTGTTTTGGGGTGCGATTTTGTTGGGTCGGGCTGTGAATTTGTTGATGGATACGGATGCTAAGGATGCCAGTACTGCTAATGGGTGTAAAACTGAGACGAAGTCGGATACCGGAGACTCTCAGAAAGTTGAGGAAAATGTTAATGGAGATGAAGACAGTGAGTCTAATTCTTTGTTGCCTCCTCGGAGAGGGGGCATGTCGAGGAAAACGAATAAGACTCGGCGAAAAGTGCAGTGGAATGATAGGAATGGGAATAAGCTTGTTGAGGTCCTGGAATTCGAACCAAGGTAATGCATTTGCTGAATTCTATCTCCTTACATGTGCATTCCTTTGATCAAATTGTTGCAATTTCTTTTTTTTTTTTTTGGTGATCTGGTTGTTGGAATTTTGATTGACTGTTGGCCAATATCTTTGTCTCTTAATTTCACTTCGCTGTTATACTCTTCGTATTGACTTTGATTCTGGCGTCACTGAAGCTCAAGCGAAAATTTTATAGGACGGCAATAAGGCCAGCGATGTTGTATGACACAGAATGTTGGGCGGTGAAGCATCAACACGTACACAAAATGGGTGTAGCGGAGATAAGGATGCTTCATGGGATGTGTGGGCACACGAGGAAGGATAAGATTGTGAATGAGGATATCGAGGTAAAGTAAGAGTAGCCGAAGTTGAAGGAAAGATGAGAGAAAATCGGTTACGGTGGTTTGGACATGTGCAAAGAAGGCCTACTGACGCTCCGGTTCGAAGATGTGACTACGGAACAGAGGTTCGGGGCCGAAAGGGTAGAGGAAGACCTAGGAAAACTTTGGAAGAGACCCTAAGAAAAGATTTAGAGTACTTGGATCTAACAGAGGACATGACACAAAACCGAGGGCAATGGCATTCTAGGATTCATATAACCGACCCCACTTAGTAGGAAAAGGCTTTGTTGTTGTTGTTGTTGTTGTGGTCTCTTATTTAATTGTCCCTTCCGTCCGTGATGACACTTTCCAATTCTGCTATCCAACATTATCTATTTACAGGGGCCGGCTTTCTAGTTTACTTTTTGTAATTACCGTTACCAGCCAGCTGCACTTCTTTGCGGTTTGGGTTTCTCCGTTGTCCCTATAGGCATCTGCCCTCGTCCAAGCCTGCAGCCACCCGTTTTGTTTATAATGTTGTAGTCCTTCTTAGCTTGGTTGCCTGACAGCATCGGTTACATGGTTTTTCGAAAAAAGATATTTGGCATCATTTTGGATAGACTACAGAAGTGAATTTAGCATGTGATTCTACTAATTAGTTAATTACTTGACTTGTATTGCCACACAAGTGAGTTGAAGTGATTATCAACTCTTCCTACCCTTGTAAGCTATTTGATTTTGAGGCATGAGACTTTAAGAGTCGAAAAATTCAGGTTCCATTCTACTACACTGAACGAGTGTTTATTGTTATATCGTTATAGTAGGTTTGGTTAGTTGAATATTTGAGGTTTTGTTTAATTTTCTGTAAATGAGCTCTGGAAAAGTTTCCATTATATCCATCTTTGTCAAGTCACAATCTTCGTTCAGTTTTTGTTTGGGAGCTGTTATTGGCACTCCAAAATAGACATCGTGCACTCCTCAATATGAAATGTTAAAGGAGGAATGATTATAAGATTACTATTTTGGAGTGCTAATACAATTCCCTTTTTCTTTTAAGAAATAGTTATCAATGCCAAAGGTTAGACCTCCCATGAATACCATATAATATCAAAACCTTGTAATTCACCCTTTCAGTGTCAATTCAGTTAGGTGAATAGATCTCCTTTCATCTCATCGAGAATCTTACCTTCATAATATAAGGCACCTGCTCTGATCCTCTCTGCCTAGATTTCTTGTTGTGAAGTTAAGTTAATACAAAACAAGGCATTTGATGAATTGTTTTTCTTTGTTTTATGTGTGTGTGTATAGTATATGAATAATATTGCCAAACATGGCCAGGCAGATGAAATGCCTAAGCCAAGTTTGCATGGGCTACAAATTCCTGATGATCTGGGTCATTTTTTACAATGTTTTCTGGTCCATGATTCTAGAGCAATGTTTTGCGGTCGTTAAATAACGGGAAATTATGTTGGAGGCATTTGGTCTCTGCCTCTGTTAAGTTAGACTTATTAAATTTAATAAATTATAGGCATTTTAGTGGTCTTTATCACGAGCGGGGTTGACTAATATGACTATTAGCACATTATCTAATCTTGACTATGAAATGTGATACTTTAGTAGATGACATCCATATTTGTGTGGATATGCAGATGTGCGTGAGTAAATGCTTGAATGTGCTCTTGACGTCAAGTTCTTTTTTACTTTATCGTGATATATTGACTTTTTTTCTTTTGCCCTAAATGATTGTAAAGTCGATTAATCGTTACTTCACAACTTTTTGGCCTGTTATGGAACTGCTGAGAATGGGTACCTTCATGTTTCTGGTCTGTTATGAACATGGTAACCTTCATTTTCGTGCTATCGATACTGAAATATCCTTTTATCTAGCGCACAATTGTCTGCATAAACATAATGACTCTCTGCAATTCACATAGGAAGTAACTTCTCACCGGTGTCTTAGTATGTGAGTGTGTGTGCATGCACGTCTGCACTCAAGGAATTGGAAAAACAAATTATCACAAAGTGTTGTTTTAGCACATCTTTTATTGATTGCTCAAATGAAAATATGTACACTCTGCTTTGCTACATTTTGCTAGATTGAAGTAAGAAGTCTCTCATGGCGTACCTATGTGCTTGTAATCCAGTTAAAGTTGGAAAAAAAATTACTAATGGAGTATTAACTATTTATGATGGTATTTGCACCCGTATGAAATAACTGTTACATTTATTTTCGACTTACTAGTTTCTGACCCTGTATCACTGTTCATGTGCAGCGATGTTAGTGATTCTGATGATGAGGATGCAGATTCTTGCATATGTACTATCATGTAGATGTCATTCGGTACACCATTTATCAGGATACGTTTGCTGGGTAATTTTACTGCCTCTGTTATAGCACAGTGTGTCAAGGATGGACCAAAGGTCCTGAGACCAAAGCATAGTACCATTTTTGGGTTAGGTTTCCATGACTGCCGTTATAACCAGATGCAAACTGAGTGGTCCATCTTCCGGGGATGAAAGCAGACACAGATGACGGCAATTTGGCTTCCACATTATGTAATATATCAAACACAGTCGAGAATTATTTTGTTTTACGATATGCATAATTTGTACTTTGTATGTAATTAGAATCACAGCATACTTTGATAACCATATCATGTTAAATAAACGTGCTTCGATTCTGTTTGTTCCTTCTGTTCTCTATTCCTTGAGCACTTGACAGAAAGGAGAAAAGACATCATCCATCCTGCATCCTTGCATTATTTGGTCGAGTGAATTTTAAAACTCATCCCACCAACTTGGCCCACCCAGCTTCTGTCTTGCAACCGGTTGTATATTCTCTTATGTCTGTCTCCACATGACATAGAGAGAGAGAGAGAGAGAGATACACAAGGGGGGTGCAAGAACGGAGCTACGTACAAGGTTCCCCGGACATTTTGGGGTGAGAAAAAGTTTATCCCTACTATTCTGCTTATTTTAAGTTTTGTTTAGTGTGGTGGCACTAACTCACGTACGTTACTAAGATACTCCAAATGTAAGGTTCAAAATTAGGTAGCCCACCCCCTCGAAAATTCCTGACTCCGCCGTTGAATGGAAGATTTGCTAAGACCATTGTTCAGTAATCTGGACACAAACAACCAATCCCCCCAATACGAGCACAAATCTATCAGACATCCTCTTTTACAAGAATCAAGACACTCAGAAACAAATGCACAAACACATCCTCTTTTACAAGTATCAAATTATCTTTTTTGCCATGAATGAAATGTAATCTGTCCAATGTACTAATTTCCAGTTACAGAAACTGTGCAACTATTGATGATCAAGATTCAATCCGGTCTCCTCCGACTAATTACTACTTTGCGAATTTAACCAACTCGAAAGACTGGCATGAACTGGGATTTGTTGCAGTAGAGGTTTCGTGGACCGGTTAACATTCGACCTGCTGCTATAAGGCATCTGGGGTGGTTGAAATATTGCAATATTCTCCTTTTGGTGCTTTTGTGGTGCTGCTGTTTTCGCTTTCGCTGCTTTCCACTGTATGAGATTCTCTACTGGACTCAGTACAGAATGCACATGCTTATAATCTCTAGCATTTGGATACTCCGATTCTCCATTTCTAGAGGCAGAACATAGTTCCTCCGAAAACCCTTCTCGGCTTGTTCGTTGTTCATCGATATCACTCTCTTCATCGTCATCATAGTAGTCATCCTCATCATCAACGTCAATATCATTGTCATCTGAATCGCCTTCCTCTTCTTCGTAGCTGTCCCGTACATTTTGGTACCTGTAGTTTGAGGGAAACAGTCCCAATCTCAATGTAGTTGAATCCCTTTTAGATGCTGAAGTGGAAAGGCTTTTGACATTCTTTTCTTCCAAGTCTTCCTCCTCATAGCTCTCCAAGGAACGGTAATCGGTCGAAATAGGCTCATAGGTCTGCACATTCGGATTGAAGCTAACTTTCTTTCGGGTTTTCAACCTTGTCTGCTCCTTTGCCTTGTCTCTGAAACAACAAAATATTCAACGAAAATGAATGCCGGTAAAATAATCGTTCCAAAGATCAAATCTCAATACAAAGTCGGAGATTAAAAGCAAGAACTGACCTGCATAGTTCAGATTTCGAACATTCTTTTGCACCATCAATACCAATAATTGTGACAGATGAATCGAGTGGTACATAACTCACACGTCTCTACAGCAACATCATAAAATATAAAATAAAACATCCCGACTTTGGGCTAATATTGTGACACCAACACATCAAAACACAAAAACTGAAACTTGAAAGCACGGATTGAGGTTAAGATAAAGAAATGTACATGGTCACCACCGGCGGCTTTAGTAGCCGGTTTTCGCCGCTTTTTCTTCTTAGAGAAACCGAAACAGGCAAGAAAACACCCCATAGTAGAAGTCCCCTAGCTACCAGCTCCTCATTAGTTTTTGCAGCAGTGAGGAATGTGGTTTGATATAGGCACACAGATAAATGGAAAAGGGGGTTAGGAGGTGACGGTGGACATGGGAAATTTTGAAATCCGTTTGGCTCCAAGTCCAAAGGGTTTTTGAAAATAGTAACGTTGGGGAGTCGAATGATGATGAAAGGGATGTGGTGGGTGCATGAGTTTAATAAAGGAGGGAGGCAGAGACAACAAACAAAGCTTTTTGGTTTATTATTTGTTTGCCTTTTTGCTTCATGGGAATTTATGGAAGGAGTCATGTTTCTTTTGTAATTTGGACAAGGAATCCGTTGTATAGTACAAAATTCGAATATACTTTATTGGAGGTTGATCATTGAGAAATACTAAATTTACTTGACATCTTAAAATGTTTTTCTTCTCGAGACTGCTCGTCTATATACCACCACATGGTAGTATATGGATTATTGAGTCCTGATCAACGAATCATATGACATGTGATCTATGACAAATTATTCGTTCAATCTTATAGTGGGTGGTGTGAATAGTGACAAAACAATTTGTTCAAGCTTTCAAGGCTGGAGTTGATAAAACGGAGAAGCAAAAAAGTGAAATTTGGTTATGGCACAAGACACTAACATAATTTAGATGCCTTAGGAAATTACTTTGGTCCTTATCTGCTCATATTTGTGGAGTTGATTTAAGTGTGATATCGATGTTATTGGAAAGCTTTTAAGGCCGTGTCTCAACCTTAGTAACCACGTTCCCTCCAATATCTTAAACTTTCGATCTCCTATTCAAGTCTCCTCCAACACTTAGAAGTTCACCACGTCTTAATCCTCAAGCACCAAAAACGTAACTTGAACTCACGTGTCGCGAAGTGTATATTTATATAAAATACGTTCATGATCAAACAGAAAATGTTCATGATCAAACCGGGTAGCATTGCTATGATCTAAGACCTCTCAACTTTGCCCATTCCGGGGGAGATTTAGGAGCAGCACCAGCCCATTGGAAATTGGGAAGTTATTGCCCAAAATTTTTAAAAATCCTACTCCAACCCAGCCCTGAAACTAAGGGCTGGTTTGGTATTGCTGTGCTTTGAAAAAAAGCTGCTGTGAGAATAAGCGGTTGTATTGTGAGAATAAGCGGCTGTGAAATAAAGCCAGTAGAGTGTTTGGTAAACTTTTTTGTGAAAGTGCTTTTAGAAAAAAAAGCAGGATGATAGTTTGTCTTTTCATTAAAGGAGCACTGTAGCTCCGTGTGCTTTGAAAAAACTGGCTTTTTTTTCAAAGCAGCAAATAGCAGCTTCAGCTTTTCCTTTGATTTTCAGCTTATTCTCACAGCAGCTTCCAAAATAAGCCCTTTTTTTTTAGTTTACCAAACACAAAAATGACCCTCAGCTTTTTTTCACAGTGGCTTTTTTTAAAATCACCTCAATCCCAAACGGGGCCTAAGGCAATTGGTGAGCCCAGCTGTGCCGCACTACCCACCCAGCCAATTCATGCCCGACCGTGTACCCTAGTGGATTTGTGTTATGGTGACGTCAGCTGTTAAAGGAAAGAAAATAAGTCAACTATTCATTTAGGGTGATTATAGGATCGTAATGTAATTAGCAAACAATCCAAATGTATTTACCTAGAGTAGCCTTCCCTTTACTGTATAAAGCCATGTATCATTGTATGATTCAAGATCAAGTCAATTACGCAAGAAATTATTCATCTGCAAACTCCATTTCCCTTCCAGTTTTCACATGGCATTAGAACGCCGATCTTGGTGCCTCTAGGAACCCAACCACACCTTCCGCTGCAAACAAAATCAGATGGGTGAAAGTGAGACGAAATTCACAGAGGTGTCAATCGACATCTCAGACCCGTTCACTTTGCACCACTTAAATAATCCGGGACTCATCTTGGTCTCAAAAACCTCTTGACAGACATAATTACGGACAATGGAGCGTGCCATGCGCATTGGTCTTAGCGCAAAGAATAAGATCGGGTTGATCGATGGATCCATCACAACCCCAAAACCCACAGAGGCAAAATACGCTACATGGAAGCGATGCAATGACATGGTGTTGCTTTGGATCGTGAATTCAGTCCACTTGGACATTGCTGGCAGCATTCTCTATACCGACACAGCAGCTGGCATTTGGAATGATCTCAAAGACAAGTTTTCACAAGGTAATGACTCTAGGATTTACCTAATTCGACAAGAAATCGTCGAACACCGACAAGGACAACAGTTTGTGTCTGCCTATTACACCAAGATGAAGGCGCTTTGGGATGAACTAGCCTCCTACCATGATCTTCTCACTTGCACCTGTGAAGGACTACAACAACTTGCGGAACGAGAAGAAAAAGAAATAGTCATGCAGTTCCTTATGAGATTGAACGACTCTTACGCCACCATTCGTGGATCGATCTTGATGATGAGCCCTCTTCCTAACACACGTAAGGTCCATGCCTTGGGCCTTCAGCAAGAGAGACAAGTCGAAGTAGCCTCTTGGCGTGAAAATTTAAGCAACCATCATGCGATGCAGACAAGCCGTTCCACCACCACTCAGGGAACGACGTCTTCAAAGAAACTGCTCAAGTGCATCTACTGTGACAGAGGACATCTTGTAGGTGATTGTTTTTTCCTGAATGGCTTTCCAGTGGACCACAAATTTCATGGCAAGAATGTGACGCCAAAAGGCAAGAAACCATCAGCTCATAATGCACAGACAAATCCACCTCAGCTGGTCAAAACAATGCTTACTGAAGGACCCACATTCACCACCAAAGAATACAATCAGATCATGGCCATGCTCCGAAAAGGAAACGGTAATACCCAATCGTTCGCCAATGCTACAGGTATAATCACACCAACCTGTAATATTACTCACCATGACTCACATTTAACATTATATTGGATTGTGGATAGTGGATAGTGGAGCGACAGATCATATATCAAAATCATTGCCAACACATAATACATCAGACACACAACATGATTTTGTGGGATTACCAGATGGGAGCCAAACTGAAATCAAATCAATTGGATCTGTCAAATTGTCTTATGATTTGATTCTTGATGGAGTACTTCATGTACCAAAGTTTAAAGTTAATTTGTTATCTGTTAGCAAACTCACTCAAGCATTGAAATGTATCGTAATATTTTTTCCTGATTTTTGAGTTATACAGGACGTGGTTACGAGGAGGATGATTGGCCTCGGCAAGCAATATAATGGGCTATACTACCTCAAGCCAAGCCAAAACCCACACCTATTGCATAGCGTGAACCGTACCTCAAGCTTGTGGCACAACCGCCTAGGACATCCATCCATTGCACCTCTCTAAGCCTTATCCAAAACCATGCCAGAAATAATTTTTGATTCTTTGATTCCAAGCATGTTTGTGATATTTGTCCATTAGCGAAACAAACTTGTTTATTTTTGTCCCCAAGTTCAATAAAATCAATTGCACCTTTTGATTTAATCCATTGTGATATTTGGGGGCCTCATAAAGTTACTTCACATTTTGGGGCACGATATTTTTTAACTATTGTGGACGATTTTTCTCGTTTCACATGGATTCATCTTATGTCTTTTAAGTCTGAGACACAATCTTTATTGAAATCATTCTTCTCTTGGGTCAAAACCCAATTTAATTGTACCATTAAGGCCTTACGTGCTGATAATGGGACAAAATTCACCTCCATGCGTTCATTTTTAAATGACTGTGGCATTATTTTTCAACACTCTTGCCCTCACACACCCCAACCAAATGGAGTTATGGAACGCAAACACCGTCACCTCTTGAATGTGGGGCGAGCTCTTCGTTTTCAAGCAAATTTTCCTTTAAAATTTTGGGGAGAAAGTCTTCAAACAACTTGTTACCTTATAAATCATCTTCCTACCCCCTTGTTGTCGCACCCCTCACCCTATGAAAAATTACATGGCACGCCACCTCATTACTCTCATATTCGAACTTTTAGGTGTCTCTGCTATGCAACCAATCTCACACCCACTCACAAATTTGATTCCCGGGCATAACAATGTGTTTTTATTGGCTATCCACTTGGACAAAAAGGCTATCGGGTTTATGACCTCAATACCAAGAAAATTTTCTCATCTCGGGATGTAATTTTTCATGAGCATGTCTTTCCATTCTCCACCTCACCACCAGAAATTCAAACTGATGAGCCCACTCTGCCACTTCCTCATGATGACATCACCCCACATTTATCACCTCAATCCCAAACTTCCCACGGCCCACCAACCATTACCCCATCACCCGTTGACCTAATCCATCCCATCCATACCATTGAAATCACACCTCATTCCTCTTCACTCCCAGATTTTCCAGCCACCAATCCCATACCTCCACCGACTCCTGACCCTGCTACTAATTCATTCCCCTTATCACATAACCAACCCATACCCTCACAACCTAATGATGCCCTCATCTTTACCACACCAACATCACCGCTCACCGCTCACCCTCCCTAATCCCCAACCCCCACTTCGCTAATCTAGTCGAACCACACGACCTCCCATTCACTTTAAACATTATTAAGCACACCATGCCTCTCTGCTTACTACCGGCAATATCCCTGCCACGTCTGGTACGCGGTACCCCCTTCATCTGTATGTCTCTTACTCTAATTTGTCTTCTGCTTATCAACACTTCGTACACAATATTTCCCATTTGGTGGAACTAGTGTCTTTTGAGTAGGTCAGTCAAGACCCGCAGTGGGTTGAAGCTATGCAGGCTGAAATTCATGCTCTTGAAGCCAACAACACTTGGATCATGGTTTCTCTTCCTCCTGGCCATCACCCGATTGGCTATAAATGGATATTCAAAATTAAATATCAAGTTGACGGATCCGTTGAAAGGTACAAAGCCTGCCTCGTCGCTAAAGGATTCACTCAACGTGAAGGCATTGATTATAAAGAAACTTTTGCCCTTATAGCCAAACTCATCACCGTCCATTGTCTCTTAACGGTTGCTGCAGTTCGCCATTGTAGCCTTCACCAAATGGATGTCCAGAACGCCTTTCTTCATGGGGATCTCCATGAGGAGGTCTACAAGCTTCCTCCACCTGGTTATTGTCGACAAGGGGAATGAGTGGTTTGTCGACTCAACAAGTCATTGTATGGACTGAAGCAAACCTCAAGAAGTTGGTTTCACAAGTTCTCATCTGCAATCCAAAACATTGGCTTTCAACAATCACGGGCAAACTATTCATCATTCACTCAGGTCCGTGGAAATTTATTTACAGTGATACTATTATACATTGATGATATGATCATTACAGGGAACAATGAAGAGGCAATCAGTGACCTTAAAAAATTTCTCAGTAATTGTTTTCGGATTAAAGACCTTGGCCCATTGAAATACTTCCTTGGGGTTGAAGTTGCACGATCGAAGGCAGGGATTTCAATATGCTAACAAAAATATACATTGGACATATTGGAAGAGAATGGTTTACTTGGTGTGAAGCCTGCCAAATTTCCTATGGATCCATAACTAAAGTTGAATCCAAACGATGATGACCTTCTCAAGGATCCAACTCGTTATAGCAGGTTAGTTGGGAAATTGATTTACCTTACTATCACAAGATCGGAAATCACGTATTCGGTTAATACCCTTAGTCAATTCATGCAGCACCCAGAAAGCCTTATCTCGATGCCGTCAATAGGTTACTTCAATACTTAAAGGCAGCTCCAGGTCAAGGATTACTCTTTCCATCACATGGCCAATTAAATTTGGTCGGCTATTATGATGCAATTTGGGCTCATTGTCCAACAACATGACGATCCGTCACAGGTTACTGTGTATTCCTTGGACAAGCATTTGTATCATGGAAAAGCAAGAAGTAGGTTGTTTCTAGGTCCTCAGCTGAAGCGGAGTACATGTCCATGGCAGCTGCTACATGTGAACTCACTTGGCTAAGGTATTTGTTACATGATTTGAGGGTTAATCATCATGAACCTGCAAAACTATTCTATGACAACCAAGCAGCCTTGTAAATTGCTGCAAATCCAGTATATCATGAACTAACCAAACACATTGAGTTGGATTGTCATACAGTATGTGAAAGAATTCAAAATGGAGAGATCAAAACTGCATATGTGCAAACCGGAGAACAAATTGCCTACATATTCACAAAGCCGACAAGGGAAGCCATCTTTCGAACACATCTTCACAAGTTGGGTGTTATTGACATCCATACTCCAACTTAAGAGGGAATGTTAAAGGAAAGAAAATAAGTCAACTATTCATTTAGGGTGATTATGGGATCGTAATGTAATTAGCAAATAATCAGGATTTATTTACCTAGAGTAGCCTTCCCTTTACTGTATAAAGCCATGTATCATTGTATGATTCAAAATCAAGTCAATTACGCAAGAAATTATTCATCTGCAAACTCCATTTCCCTTCCAGTTTTCACATCAGCTATGTTCAAATTTTTATCTGATATGTTGAATAAGGCGACATTGTCGTCATCGAAGAGGAAGTCAAGGTCATTATTAACGCAAGGTCCTTTCTGATCCTAACACGCCCAAGGAATGGCCAAGGCTCGATGGGATTGGGAAGATAGTCCCGAGTGTTACAGAAACCTGCTCGGCAATCCAGATTTCCTATCAACGATTAGGCCGAACGCTTCCCAACAAAGTACTTTTTGATCGTCGAAAGACAAATTGGTGAACTGACAGCTTTACAGCACGAAGTCCTAGGAATAGACGGCAATGCCTACTCAGACGTCAATTCCAGGCTGTCCTGCAACTATTTAAGAGAACATAAGCCTATGAAGGGACATAACAGCTGATAGATAAGGCACTCGGGTGCGGGTTCTGATGAGTAGATTTTATATTATATATTTTACCCTAATCTTAGTATATTTTGGTTAATATATTGGAAGAATTTTGATACTTTGAATTGTATTTTCAATATAGGACTTTCAACTTCCTCTGGAGCAAAATAGGACCAATGGACAAATTTTGGAGTAATTCCATTTGGAGGACGTTCATGAGTCACTTAGCGTGATCGTATCAAAATTTGGGATTTTTCCACCAAACGGTTATTTTCTGACGATAAAATAAAGAAGCAGTGCGCAGTGCTGGAAAATGACGTTTTTGGGCTTAAATTGCGTTTTTGGAACCCAAGATAACCTCGGATGGGTTCGTGGCCTTCTGGAGAAGTGTTCAAAATATTCCAAACATTAGATCCAGCTATATTGGGCCTGTTTTGGAGCAGCTTATGGGTCCAAAACGTGGCTGTTCAGATTTTAGACGAATTTTACCATTTAATTTAGGGTTATGTTTCCTATTTGATGGAATTAATCTTAAGTTTCCTAGGGTTGTGTGGGGGCTTAGCAGATATATTGCTTGGCCGTCTACCAGATTTCTCTACGCTTTCTTTTATGCAATTTTGAAGACAGAGAGAATTGTTAGGGTTTTGGAGACTTTTTACTTGAAGGTGCTTTCAATCCTTTTCTTGAATATATTTTCTTTGATTTCAATTATGAGTATGCGGAACTAATTTCTTTTGCTAGGGCGAAGCCTGGAGCCTTAGCATGAATATGTGATTTTTATTTAATTACTTATTATTGATTGCATGCATACTTTGAATTGTTAATCACTGGGATAAAAACTATCTAATTGTCTTAATGCCTGATCACCATTACGATCTTTAGAAAAGTAATTTGATGCAATTTTGGTCGGAAGGTTCCCTGAAATTGACGCTGGCTTCTTGTGATTAATAATTGTAATTTCACTTAGGATGAATATCACGTCTTAAGGATTGCATGGTCTTTCAAAGGATTTTCATAAAGCATAATGAGCCTTTCATGTTCAGATTTGATCCGAACGTCCGGACGGGTTGCATGTTAGATATACGTTCTAGGTTGGAGGTTCCAAGTAGAATATGAATTAGAAAAATCTAACCTTCAAAGTGGCATGTGTAGATCATAAGTAATTGGTAAAAATTCATAAGATTGCTAGGTGATGGTGGAACCTTAGTGCTTTTTTAATTTTATTCTCCCAAAATTGTTTTCTTTTCTCTCTAGCTCTAATATTGCAGATCGTTTATTTTAATTCATTAATTTCGTTTTTATTTTAATTAGGTTATAAAATCAATCACCTAAACTTCTACTTTACAATAATTAAATGGAATCTGATTAGTTTCGAATTATTTAATAGTCCCTATGGAGACGACATTGCGAGATCCGTTTATACTACAA